TTACAAATAAAAATCTATGACTATTTGCAGTACAAGCTTGGAAACAACAACTGAGAATGCCTCCTCTCCTCTGTATCCTTAAAGGTCAACTAAAATCTCCAATGCCCTGGGAGGCCTATCCAGCTCAGCAGCAACGGCAGTGGCATCAGCCTTTGCAGAACTCAGAACATTCACACATGTCACAGTTCACAGGACCATGACACACAATTCCAAAACTAACTACACCAGGTTTACCTCCTGGGGAGGTCACAGCAGTGGACAAGACTCAGGAAGCTTAAATTTTATGAGTGGTGTAGACATATAAGGAACAAAGACACAAGCAGATAACAGATGGTGAGAAGTGCTATGAAATAAATCATCAGAGCAATGTGACAGAGTAGCTGGAAGGGGCTTACTTAGGATCAAGGGGGTCAGAGTATCTCCTCTGAGGCAGAGACACTGACACTGAGACCAGAGCCCAGAGGTAAGAAAGAGTTCAACCTATTTTCAGAATAGAAAGGAAGCAATAGTAGGTAAAGGGCAGGGTTGGGGACTGCTGCCTATAAAGCAGGCCACACAGAACCACCACACTGAAGACTGGGTGTTCAGAGTGAAGATTTAAGAAGAGCATGGAATGATAGCTTTGTGGCATGTCCTAAATTAACAACACTGTTCTTTACCTTTCATTGTTACTAACGTTCCAGGTTTACAGTGCCCTAACCATAGCCCTGAGAGCAGGGACTGTGTCACTGCACTTCTTTTTCTTCCTCACAATGCCCAGTGTCAGGATGGGTGGGGTAGGACAAAATGGCGGCTAGACTACAACCAAAATGGCAACTGAACTACAACCCAGAAAAGATGGCTGACGTCAAACCAGAGAGCCAAAAGGGCGGGCTTTGCCAAAACAGATTTTGGCTTTGCCAAAATGGATATCCGCATAGCAACCTGAGCCCGAGGAAAACCACTAATGATATATTGCCGCTTTGCTCAAAGGGGACCAATCCCCAGCTTCAGTGGAAAGCCAATGAGAATAAAACCCAGCCACATTCCCTGCTCAGGCGGCAATTTCTCTGGCCCCACACTTTGCGGACCGTAGAATCTAGCCCAGGTGTGCAAACCCCAATAAAGCTCTATACTGCCTGACTTTGTGGCTGATTGGCATTTCTTCCTCAGTGGAGCTTAAGAAAACCTTTCACCCAGCACACTGTTATATACAAAAAGATGCTTGATGCATAAAGACACATACACACACACACAAAGAGGGTTCAATTGTCCTGATGATTCAAAGAACCTACATTTAAAAATCTGCCAAAATATCACTCCTCTGTAATATATATGGTTTTCACTAATGAAGTAGTTGGATTATAATGGGAATATAAAACACTTAGAACTAAAAACTCAGTTGATAGAAATACTTGTTTACCTGTCAGTAAAAAAAAAAAAAAATGGCTGCAATCTTCCTACCAACACAAATATAAACAAAGTAGCTATTTGTCTAAAGGGAATCCCCTTCTTATTGAGAATAAAAAGACAGAAAGGCCAAGTGGGCAAAGGCCAAGTGGGCAAAGGCCAGTAGCCACCACAACATGGGCCCCTGCCATACCTACTCACCGCCACCTACTGGACATCTGGAGGACAGAGATCTGTGCAGCAGTTCCAGGGTCTGAGACTTCTGGTGCCAGTTAATGGGTACAAATAATTGAAATTAAAAAGGGCAATTCATACATTTGAGGAAAAGCTCCTAAAAGATTTAGAAATAACTAAAAAAGACTTTCTTATCCTAATAAGTCAGTGTGCCTCATTGGAGGTTTTAAAAATGGTGCTTATTTTTGTTATAAAGAAGGAAGAGGAGGCACTGGTTGAAAGTGTAACAGGGAATACAGAGGTCCCCAAAATGGGAAAACCCCCACAGCCATCACTTGGGGGATGGAGAAGTAGGGTAGAGAGGTACTTTGGATATCAATAACAGCTGGCTAGCTTCCTAGATATATTAAGCAGCTGTAACAGACAAGGAGCAAGGGAGTTTGGTGTGACTCTAACCCATGATGTAGCCAGGAGGCAGTTCCTACATCATGAGGATTTACCTCAACTGCAGGGCAGCCATGATCCCTTAGCCACATGGGGCTCTTCCAACCATGTAGCTTGGGAGAGGCCTTGGCCACACAGTTAGAAACTATGCAGAAGGACCCCCACCAGCCAAGCAAGGGGGGGGGGGCATGCAGTTTTGGATTAAGAGTGTAAGCTGACCTGAGTATAGATGACTAGGAGTGCAGACAGGAACCTCCCTAGCTGAGCTATAGACTTATGTTTTTCTCAGAGATGGTGCCCCTGGCTGGTATACTCTGAGACGGACCTGGTTTGGGAAGGAGAGGCAGCACTGTGTGTTTATGTGTGTTTAGTTTTAAGGGATTTTGTGACTTCAAAACAGAACCCCACCATTATTGTGAACCTGTATAACTTTTAAATAAATAGTTCCTTTCCTTTTCATAAGACTCTGACATTGGGAGTCACAGTTTTTTTGGTGGCAGGCAATAGAACTCAGACGTTCTGTTACAAAAGAAGGTTGAAGATCCTAAAGATATGAGGTATTACTATATCACCTATAGAAAAATATTTAGAATGAAAAATACTTGACTACATTTTTTCTTCAAATACAATTAAAGTAGTATAATAAACCAAAACCACAGAATAATGAACAAATAAAACAAGAGGGAGCAACCAGAGGCAAGAGGAAAACTGGGAGAAAATGGTGTCCTGGAAAACAAGGTTCAAGATGGTTCCAGGGGCAAGAGGGCAACAGAGACAAAAGCTGCTGAGTGGTAAAGTCAGATGGGTCTTCAGTCCACAGTCATGAACTAAAGCAACGTGGAGGCTGCTGGGGACCTCAGTAAGATCAAAGCAGTGTACTGAGGAGGCAGCAAGAAGGAAAAAAATAGGTATTTCTCAATTGGAGATCCCTGGAAATATTTAAAAGCCAATGAGAATAAGACAGATGAGTGAAAGAGACAGACTGAATTGTCAAGAGAACAAAGTGCTTAGTGGAGGCTGCTGAGAAGGAAGAAGGGTAGGACAGAAAATGCAGAAAGGTCAGGAAAGGCTCCACAGTCCAGGTCAATCTGGCTCCATAGGTGAATGACCTGTGTGGTCGGTCACACAGGTGGGGCCCCTCACTCAGAAGGGCTCCACCCTCTGTTTAATGCTGTCACCACCTTGAAATTCTTAAAACATTTTTAACAAGGGGCCCCTCATTTTCCTTTTGCAGTAAGCCTCGTAAATATGTAGCCTGGTCCAGCCCAGAGGGAGATGCTGGCCTCAGCACCAGGAAGGACAGCTCAGTTACCGGAGCAGGAAGAAGGAATGGAAAAGCAGGTCAGTGCCATCCAATATCTTCTTTCTCTATGAAGCAGAAAAAGAGTCATCAGCTGTGAAGGAGCAAGAGGGCAGACAAAGGAAGAAACTTCACTGTAGAATGGAGAACTCTGGTAGACTTCATATTAACCAAGTAATCAAGGTTCACAGCACCTGTAATAAGACAATTCAGTATCATGTACCTCTTCATCTGAAGCACTAAAGAGGACACAAGATCAGGTTTGTGCTATTTGTTATTCTCGTCAAAGTATATAACCTCAATGTAATCATAGAAAACCCAAAATAAGAAACAGTAGTCTTGAAAAGTATCAAGGTCATGAAAGAAAAGGAAAGACAGAGGAACTGTTTAAATAAGGTTTGTTGTATAGTTAAAAATATTGTATCAGCCCTGGCTGGTGTAGCTCAGGGGACTGAGCACAGGCCTGTGAAGCAGGGGGTTGACAGTTTGATTCCTGGTCAGGGCACATGCCTGGGTTGCACGCCAGGTCCCCAGCAAGGGACACATGAGGGGCAACCACACATTAATGTTTCTCTCCCACTCTTTCTCCTTCCCTTCCCCTCTCTCTAAAAATAAATAAATAAACTATTTTTAAAAAGAATATTGTATCAATATTAATTTCCATGTTTTGACCACTGTACTATGACTATGAAAGACAGTAATATTTGGGGAAGCTTGGTAAAGACTACATGTAAGCATGACTCCTTTTTCAACTTTTCTGTAAGTCTCAAATTATTTCAATATAAAAAGTTTAAATTTTCATGTGGATTTCTAATTTGTGATCTCCTTCACGTTAACAGTAATTCTAGGAACCTCGGTTATCACCTTTGAAGTCTAGCACTAACTGTGCCAGACATATTCCTGCCTCTCTATTAATCCAAAGAATCAGTAACAAAAAAAGAAAGGTATCCCTGTGGAAATTATAACTTTGAACAGGTCATACAGCCTTAAGTTTATATAATGCTTCTCCACACATACTGTTTCATAGCATCTTAGCAAGGGAAGGAAGGAAGAACAGGAATGCCCCCTCATTTCTCATTCCTCTGCCTGTCCCCTCCCGTGTCTGGAAGGCTATTTAAGTAGATATGTTAATTGAATCCTTTATGAATGCTTAACAGCTATGAGAACACACAGGTTATAAGGACTATTTCCTTTCTCTATTTTAATTTAAATTTTTTGTGAAAGCTTACAAAGTTTGCAGCAAATCCTGGTCAGATACTGCTTTAGAAAAATGAGGTTTTGTAAAGAACCTCGAGTGACACATCTGCTTGTTTACTGCTTGTTTACACCTGGGATAAAATCACTTGAGGTAACTATTCTGAATGGCCAGGGCCAAGGGGAGTTGTGCCATTACTCTGCTGCCGCCCAGTGGAGTGTGGGTGCCAAAGCACCTTTCCAGAGAACAGGATCCCAGAGAAAGAACTGCATTCTCTGCAAAGGGCATTTATTTTCTCTGGGGTCCAAAGTCAGGAGGAGGTAAGGGAGAAGTGCTGTGCCTGCCTGCCGCAGCACTAAGGAGCTAGGGTGTAAATAAATAATAGGTTTTTGCAATGAACTGTTTTGTCCACCACAGATTCAGAGGTGCTCCAGTGACTAAATTAAAGCCAAAATATGTTACAAGCATCTAGAGAACAGACCACCACTCCGGACTTACCTGCTTTGGGTCAGATGTAGCAGCACTAGGAGCTGGGGATTCCAGTTCTATGGTCACAGGCCCATCGTTTTGAATGTGAACTTGCATGTATGCACCAAACTTGCCATCTGAAAGAGTGATTTAAACAGTTACAAGAGATGGAGACCCCAGATTACCCCATTGAAAAAACACACCTGTGTCAGTGTAATCAGAAAACTGGGGAGTATGAATGGTCCACCCCACCAGTAGTGAGGGAGATACAAAATTAAACAACAAAGGTGCTGCCACAGACCCTACAGGCTTGGAAAGAATGAAAAGATCTGGTAACAAAAAGTGGGTGGGGGAAATATGGGTTAAGAGGACTGTAAAATGACAGGAGAGTAAATTGTTATAACCACTTGGGAGGGCTTTTTAGTGTTGTACCAGTAAAGTTCAAGTTGAAAAAATCCTATAATCTTGGAATTCTACTTTGGGGAGTCTGCTCTAGAAACTCTTTACAAAAGGAAACATTCCAAGGTTCACTCTGGCAGTGTTTGTTTTTTTTTTAAAGTGGATACAATCTGACAGTCCCCTCATTTGGGGAATGAATGCACAAATAAGACCTTAATCCTCCATGGAATACTGTAAGACAACCACATCTCTCAACATGGCAAACCTCAAAATCATAATGTAATATTTAAAAAATAATTTGTAAAAAGGACACATCATTGTATCATTTATATATATCTAAACATCTAAAACAAGTTATATTATTTATGGATATATATCCATATATGTTTGTATTTATGTGCGCATAAAAAAAACATTGGCAGGAAAAACGCATGCAAAAATGAGATAGCAGCAACACTCATACTGAAAAGAAGGCAGGAGGTGGTGGAATTTGAGAGGGATCTGAAGTAAATGGAACCAACTGGGTAATGAGTACATGGTTTTCTATTTTCTGTATGTTTCATAATTTTTTAACAATTTAAATATAAAGGAAAAGAAAGCTCAGAAACTTCCCCAAAAACACTCTCAAAAACTGCTCTGTAATTGGCTCACAGGCCCACACAGTGTAAGGTAGAAAGGTGGTCCTGCTCCACAACTGTGTGGTCAAAAGACTGGTCAATCTAGAGATGACACGTCAGGGCAGCCGACTGAGGGGACACCTCAATCTTCATAGGACAGAACTGCTCAGAGCTGGGCTACTCAGCTACTCTTGCCTCACATTCCCTCCTCCCCCTGAGGCAACAGAATCATCCTGTTCCCAGGAAATGCACTGTCAAAATGCCTTTAGGCTGCTCCAAGAAGAGTAATTGTGTGTCCTGTTCCCACCTCTTTGTTTAAACATTCAGACCCACTCAGTTGTGTCTGATCAATCCCCAAAGGCTGATCTACGTTTTAAATGAATATACTTTGAGAGATGATGTCACAGAATAATCAGAGTATCAACTCTGTCCATCCAAGGACCTCTGTTAAGTGCTGGGGCTAAACACTGCTGATGATACACATAATCACTTACAGTAGGGAACACACTGTTTTTGACAAGTAGGGAGGGTTACTTGCATACCACCTTTGATAAATCCAAAATTAAGAAAAACGTTGGTATGGGCCCACCCAAGCTGCTTTTTTAAAAATTTTTTATTTATTTATTTTTAGAGGGGAAGGGAAGGAGAGAGGGAGAGAAACATCAATGTATGGTTGCCTTTTGTGTGTCCTTTGCTGGGAACTGGCCTGCAGGGAACCGGCCTGCAACCCAGGCATGTGCCCTGACTGGGAATCGAACCGCGATTGTCTGGTTCATAGGCCCACACTCAATCCACTGAGGTACGCCAGGGCACCCGAGCTGCTTTTTTATATGAATGGCTGATCTTGGCTCATGCTTCAAAACTTCCTAAAGCCTATCAAACAAGCAACAGCCACAGAGGGGAGAAGGAAGGGAAGTTAAGGGGAAAAAGGGCGGTGGAGAAAAAATAACTAAATAAAATTTTTTAAAAAGCAACAGCCATCCTCAGTGAGCCCTATGCTCCCATACCTCTTGTTAAATGGCCCCAGATCTGGCACTAGCAGCAACCAGCCAAGATTCACAGCTTGGCTTCACCTAGGAATCACCAAGCGCAACACAAGAGCAACCATCTCAGATTGTTTTACAGTTCAGGCAAGGTGGCCCCAGGCAAAATAGAGGTGGAGGCTGGCCTTGATCTATACCACCCGGCAAACCCCAGAGCCTATAAACCCAGTGGATAGCTATAGACCACATCAGAGTACCACCATCCTGCCCCTACACAGATGACCCTGCACAGAGGGTGGAGGTTGGTAGTCAGTGGTCATAGCCAGTCCTTGCAGCTGACCGGTCTGGATAAATCCCTCCCATTCACCTGCCAACAACAATCAAAGCTCAACTACAAGGGAAGGGTGTACTCAGTCCATACAATGGGCATATGTCCAGTACCTAGCTTGGATGATAGGGGAGGATGTGCCACCAGACCCTGTAGGACACCTATACATTAGGCCACACTACCAGGAGTCAAAGCAGTTCTTCCACATACATAGAAACAAAAACAGGGAGGCTGCCAAAATGAGGAGACAAAGAAACATGGCCCAAATGAAAGAACAGATCAAAACTCCAGAAAAAGAACTAAAGAAAGTAGAGATAAATAATCTATCAGATGAAGAATTCAAAACACTGTTTATAGGGATGCTCAAGGCACTTAGTGAGGACCTTAACAGCATAAAAAAGATCCAGTCAGAAACAAAAGATACACTAACTGAAATAAAGAAAAGTTTACAGGAAACAATAATAGAGTAGATGAAGTTGAGAATCAAATCAATGATTTGGAACATAAGGAAGCAAAAAACAACCAATTAGAATGAAAGAAGAATCCAATCCAAAATAATGAGCGCAGTGCAAGGGATAGTGTACACAGCCTCTGGGACAACTTCAAGAAGTCAAAGATATGCACCGTAGGAGTGCCAGAAGGAGAAGAGAAGAGCAGGAAATTGGAAATCTATTTGACAAAATAATGAAAGAAAACTTCTCTAATTTAGTGAAGGAAATAGACATGCAAATCCAGAAAACACAGAGATTCCCAATGCAAAGAAGCCCACTCCAAGATACATTTTAATTAAAATGCCAAAGGTTGAAGATAAAGAGAGAATCTTAAAAGCAGCAAGAGAAAAGAAGTTAGTTACCTACAAGGGTCTTCCCATAAAACTGTCAGCTGATTTCTCAAAAGAAACTTTGCAGGCTAGAAGGGATTGCCAAGAAATATTCAAAGTCATGAAAAGCAGGGACCTACAGCCAACACTGCTCTACCCAGTAAAGCTATCATTTAAAATGGAAGGGCAGATAAAGAGCTTCCCAGACAAGAAATAACTAAAGGAGTTCATTATCACCAAACCATTACTATATGAAATGTTAAAAGGACTATTTTAAGAAAAAAGACATCAAAGTTATAAAAAAAAATATGGTAATAATACATATCTATCAACAATTGAATCTAAAAAAAAACTAAGCAGACAAGAATAGAGACAGAGTCATGGATATGGAAAAAGTTTTAATGGTTGCCAGATGGGAGAGAGGTGTGGAATAATGGGTAAAGACATGAGGGGATTAAGAAGTACAAATAGGTAGTTACAGAATAGCCATGGAGCTGCAAAGTACAGTATAGGAAATGGAGTAGCCAAAGAATTTATATGCATGAGCCACTGACATAAACAATGGTGTGAAGATTGCCTGAGGGAGTGAGGGATGTTGGGTGGAGATGGCAAAAGGGAAAAATTGGAAAACTGTAATAGTATAATCAATAAAATATGATTTTTATAAAAGAAAAATTAGGGTCCACAGAGTACAGTTAGTATGAATCCTCAGAAACCAAGAATACTCTGCTCCCACCTACCATTAAAGAGCAAAGAGAGCATATGCAATCAAGTCTACATTTAAGAATCACTTACTGGCCTGGCTGGCATAGCTCAGTGGATTGAGCATGGGCCTGCGAACCAAAGGATCGCAGTTAGATTTCCAGTCAGGGCACATGCCTGGGTTGCAGGCAAGTTCTCAGCACGGGATGCGCGAGAGGCAACCATACATTGATATTTCTCTCCCTCTCTCCTTCCCTTCCCCTCTAAAGATAAATAAATAAAATCTTTTTAAAAAAAATCACTCACAGCTTTTCACTCACAGCAACTGTGCCAAAGACTAAAGACCAGACTCAAAGGCACAGACAGGTGGACACTCATGAACCCTGTGGTCTAGTGTAGAGGATGGATGGGTACATCATGACAATGACATAATACTACATGTGAACCATGAAGGGTTGTGGCCCTGAGGGCGGAAAAGGGTCAAGTCCCTAGTTTGGGGTTGAGAAGAAAATTAGAAAAGCTTCGCAGATGAGCCTACAGAGGTCCAAAGCTTGAAGGGCAATCAGGACTCAGGATGGAAGACAGAACAGGCCTAGCCCCTAACCAGCTCTGAGGCCTTGAGCAAGTTTGTTAACATCCCAATGGCTCAGTTTCTTGCCTACATAGCAGGAATACTAACAAGAGGACCTACACCATGATGAAAATCCAATGAAACCATAAATGGAAGTGCTTGGGACATTGGCTAGGACATAGTGTGTAAAAAAGCAGTGTTTGCCCTTATTATGAAAGGTCATGCTCAAGAGGTGTCACACAACCAGAGCAACACTTCCCAAATGGTCCTACCAGGTCTTCCTTGAATAAAGAATGCCACACATATACTTCTGAAAATCATATTTGTTTGAACTCTCCTTCTAAAATGATGATGTACAGCAGCATACAGCAGGCTCTCAAGATACCATGAAGTAGAAAAACCTATTTAATTTCTTTGCTCTGGTAGTTTCCAAACTTTCCTAGGCAGGCAGCCCTTATTTCAGAAGAAACATCCTTTATGGTATGAATGACCCTCTGGGAGCGGCTGAGCAAGAGAGAATCAGTGAATGGATACACCAGCCCAGAGCAAGGCGGCCTGAAACCTGGAGTGGCTCTGCTCTCAGGTCCTGGGGTCCCTGCAATGCCAGGTCCACCACAGCGTGAGGTAACCTCTATGAGCCTCTGTTGCCACCACCACAAACATACAGTTTCCACCTCTGATTCTTCCCCACCTAGTATATCACTCCTTCAAATAATC